AATCAAACTTAGCCAAGTTGACATATTTGGGGAGGGTAGGGAGAAACAGTCATCCAGGACAAATGGAGAAATGTGCAAATAGAATGAAAAGAAAACACCTGTTAGTTCACTGTTGGCTCCCAAAACTTGAGTGTGAATCATGGTATCTAACTTTATGGAGTCTGCTGTTTTTTTGTCCTGGATGCATGGGAAGCTGTCTGTAGTGCCATAAATGACCAATCTTTGGTCCCAAGTTGAACCTTCTCCCTTTTATTTCAGTATGTGCAATTTCAGCCAATGCATAAGACCGGTTATGTCTCCGATAAAAAAGCAGGGTGGTACATAATCAGGCAGAGAACAGTTCTAATAGGTTCAATCCCTTGACAGAGAGAGCAGGAAGCAGAGAGCAAGGGTTATAAGCTATCAGAGTAATGGTAGTAGTCATATCTTTCTATTGAACTGCGAGAAGAAATAGGTGATTTTTATTTTATTTTAAAGACATTTGCCAGCTTCTCAACATAATAACTCTGTGGTATAATTAATAATAATTATTACTTAAGGAAAACATAATCATCTACATAGATAATCCTATGGAATATAAAAAACTTCAATAGGCGACTTTGGCAGACTCAGGAAACAAGGTAAAGATGTAGTAATCTATTGCCTTTCTATATTACATGTTAAGAGTAACTACAACTGCTGTAAGAATCTAGATAAATTGTGCTTTTACTTTAATATTGATTACAGATAATTCTACTTTATGAATAAGAACTAGGCCGTTAGCAGACAAAATGCAAAGGAAATCATTTTCTCCTCAATTAACTATAAAGGAAATAGCTGTTTTTTCTACACACAAACATACATTTGAGCTTCCCGTTCCTGTATAATCTGAAGATTGTGCTTTTTAATAATGGCTTGCTAATCCCTTTAAATAGCTCTTAATGTAAGTATTCCATAGTTTTCATTAACCATGAATTTTGAGCTGTTTTTTTTAAACCTCTTTTCAAAACCCCTACTTGGTGGCTGTTTCACCAGCACCCTTTTTAGCCTGATCGGTGAAGCAGCAAGCCTACTTTAAGTCCTAAATGGTGTGGTATAGATGAGAGCCTAAGACTTTAATTATATGTCATTTTATTCACAACACTCAATTCCAGGAAGGAAAAAATGACTCCGTGGTTGTAAAAGACATATTATGTGCGTATCATTCATTGTAAACCCAAAATGATACCGTATTATGGCAAAAGCAACAATGGGAACTGATTCTGAAAATGTGACCTGCCTGTGAAACTGAATAATAGTGAAAGTTATCAAAATGGAAAGAAGTGTTAATGTGAAATCCAGCTTTCTCAGAAATACTCTTTCCTGGCCTATTTGGTTTTGCTTTTGTTGCTTGTCATGCATGAATGAAAGTGCTACACTCTCAGGGGAGCAGTAAAGCCTCTGTGTCGCTTGTTTATTTCCTTAATCCCCCCTCCTTTGTGATTTTTGATGTCAGATCTGAAATGGAAAGCCTGTAAATATAATGATTATCACATGGATAATCACCTGCATTAGGAACCGCCCTGCTTCTCTATTCTAACCCTGGCTGTTCTCCACATGTCACATCCACTCTGAGGTTGGATTTTAACCTGACTGCTTCATTAGATTTGTGAAACTCAGTACGAGGCGCCCTGGGGCAGCACAGATGGAGGCTTGCTTGTTTTCTTTTCTCACTTCTACTGTGAAGGCACACTAAAAAGTCCTTTTCAATTTAGCATGATCAGTTCACTTGGAATTACCCCTGATACTTGGACCCTGCCTCACTCTTGTGCCCGCCATCCATACCCACTCTTTCTTTGCTGCATTCTGAACTCATGCCCTTTTCTCTCTGCTCCTCCATGCTGTGAGGTCTCAAATTCTCTTTCAAATTCATACTGGGTCAAACTGTTCCCCTATGTTGTTTTGTTTGTTTTGCTGAGAGGGAAAAATAAATGTTGTTCCATCATTGTATCTACAAACACCTTCAGATCAGAGGTTAGCTGTTCTGAAAGTCTTCAGTGATGTGAGCCAGCTGCCTTCTTAATGGAGTGACTGGGGGCACCAGCCCAAGATCAAAGGAAGGTAGGAGGAAGTCAGAAGATAAGATCTTTTTAAGCCACAGAACAAGTGCTTAACTTTCGTGGTGATAGAATGCAGCTCTGCAAATCTGTGTGAGAGGATGCTGAGATAGAAAATTGAGTTGATTTTTCTTAAGCATGCCCTTCCTCAGTCAGAAATATGTTGGTTCCTGGAATAGTTTACAGATGTGCCAGTGTCCTAGGGCTCAGCTTCCTTCAGAAATGATGATTTACTTCAGACAGGGAGAAACCAGTAGTTGGACCTTAGATGGCCTCTGGCAAGCTTTTGAGACCCAGTCACTCCTCACCAGAGTGTAGAACATTGCTCTGGTGTGTTGCTGTCTCACTTGACCTTGATATCTACTAAGACTATGGTCCTCAGTCTCCACGACTACCACTCATTCTATTTGTGTGTTTGATTATGGTTAAGAAATTTACATAACTTCACACCCTCTTCATACAAGATCAAAAAGCAGGAAAGAAAGGAAAGGGTAAAATTGAATAGAAACAAGAACCACAGGGAGGAAGTAAGAAGTGTGTTGTTTCAATATGGGGATGGTAATCAAGTTCATAAAACAAAATATGATTGAATAGAATAACAGTGTGCTCCATTTTGTCTTAAAGTCCTTGAGGGTTCTTTCATGCCTAATGAAGTTTCTTATAAATAAGTGGTCAGCAGAGTTTTTCATTTGTCTTTTTCCAGAAGAACTAGCTTTATTAATAATTATAGGGTAGGTTTTTAAAACTCTGTATTGATAGCTTCTGAAGCTTATTCTTTCCCTTGACTTTTGGATCCACAAATATCATGAACTGTGATGTGTAAAATTCTATTGTACTGTTGTATGTAGTGAATGTAATTACATAATGTACATATTGTATGTATTGTGGCAATGAGGGTAACTGTGTTTGTGCTATTTCTCAAGGTCCTTAGCTTATATGGAGTGGCAGAGAGGTCACCTACATCATCAAAGCTAGCCTAACCAGCTTTATATTTCCCTAGTGTTAACTTCAGAATTTAGCTGTAACTTGCCGTTTTGACCTTTCCAAAATTCTCCAAGTGGTTCTCTAAATCTACATACGTATTTCGGACCATAAGTGTCTATGTGCTTTATACCCAATATTTGCCCTAACATATATTTTATACCCAAATTTGTACTGGAGACATTGACTGAACTTTCTGCCTTACATGGTTTGTTACAGCAGTCGATTTCATTGACTTGGATCTGCTTACAACTCAGGCTCAAATCCCATCTTTCTATTAATATCTCTTGGCAAAGATAATTTTGGAGGAATGTAAGTTAAGATGTAGTGGCTCTTGACAGTTGTCTGCAATCTTTTTCATTTTCAAGAGGGAACTAGAGTTGAATGTAATATTGCCTCCTTTTTCTGCACGCTCTAAAATTAAATATATAGAGTAAGAATGTAAAAAAGAAAAAATATTTGGCTAAACAGATGTGGTTTTGCTCTTGATAAGGTCAATAAAGTATGTGATAACATTTATCAGCCTATGCACTTAAGTTTAATATCTAGAGGAATTCAATGCATTGAAGCATTGTTAAATAATACATTTGTTCAGCAAATGTTCAACTTTTATTAGGCTCTCATATTAAAAAGGAGATAGTTTTAGGGATTTTGGGGGGAGCTAGTGGTTTATGGAGGAAAATTTTTAAATATTAAAAAAAAGTTGAGATGCTGAACTCATTTTTGCTGAAGTTGATTGATTTGCTGAAGTATTTTAAAGTAAATTACACAGGCATTAGTCCTCCATTAATTGTATCATTATTTTTAATGAAAAGGAAAATAGGTGCAAAAAATTCCCATAGTAGGGAACTGGGGAAATAGAATAAAGGTTAAATTTATAAATATAAAAAGAAAAGTAAATTACATATATCATGATACTTCATTCCTAGATACATCTCTAAAAGTAAGGAAATTTTCCTTATTTGTTATACCTGACAAAACTGATAATTCCTTAGTATTATCTAATGCCTAAGTCATATTGAAATTTCTCCAATTATCTCTCATTGAGTTTGTTCACCAGGATTCAGTAAAGGTTCATCCATTGCTTTTGGTCAATCTCCCTTCCCTACTTAGTCATGAGTTTAATTTTCCACCTGCTTTCCAAATGTACCGCTTAACTTGACCCCAATTCCCCCCTTATTCCTTGTAGACAGCATGTTTATGAAGTAAAGGTTTGGTTAATTCAGTTAAATTTCTCTTTTTTTTTTTTCTGCCCGAATATTCTATGCATGATGCTGTGTACTTCGTATTGCTTCATAAGAAAAGGCGTGTAGTATTTTAGGGTCCTACTGTTAGTGATGACAAGTTACAAAGATCCCTCCCAGGAATGATAGCTTGATCCTTCCATGATAAAGTTATTCTTTGATCCTGTGACCAGCCACACGCATACAATCTGTCATAGAAGTACCCTGGTCTACTACATCTTTCTACCTAATGAATGTGGTATTCATTGATGAGCCTTGCTGGGATAAATCTCACAGTAAATGTCACAAAATGATGATTTTTCTAAATCTATACAGTAATTAGCAGACATCCTTCTCTAAAAAAGCACTTCCTGAGAGGTACTGTTTTAAATAAAAATATAACCACCGGCGTGTTCTTTAGGCTTCAAGTAGCCTGTCTTTGTTGGGGTCAGAACACCTGAAGTGACTGTGGCAACTCCAGTAAAAACATGCACTACATCTTCTTTACTCCAACTTGGGAAGTGTGTTGACATTATGCTGCCTTTTTTTTTTCAAGACAAGAAGAAAAAAGAAATCTTTTTGGTGTAAGAATAGAAATTGAACTATGTGGATGTACTGAGATAATTGTGTAAAAAGAAGACTATTTGAATGAGTTTCAAAATGGATTATTTCTTCATTACCTAGCACTTTATAATTAACTGTTCTTTTTTTTTTATTTCAGGAAGCTGCCACTTTTGCTAGAGAGCAAGGCTTTGAGGTGAGTTAACCCACAATTGCACACTAAACAGATCCTAAAGGTTTTTTCAGGCTGATAATGAAGTTCTTTTGGACAGTGATTGATGTGCTATTATACTCTCAGAGCCTCGCAGCAGTTGCCATGGAAACTTGGCAGTCGTCATGGTTTCTTTGTTCTGCCAGCACAGTGTTATGACGCACTCTGCTAGGTCTGCACCCAACATCGCCTACAGATGTTATTTATTGAATTTTGAAAAGCCTCTTGGGAAGCCAAGAGGTTGGGCACGGTTTCAAGCTGCCTCTGCAGATATGGGGCCTGTCAGTTTGTTCAGTTAAAAAGCTACCTCATTAGCTGCATTACATTTCATAAGGCTTCAGTGCTACAGCAGTGGTGGAGCAAGACTAAATAGTGAAATATAATGTTGTTTAAATAATTTCAACCCTACCACATGGAGATGATCATTATGCAAATTAATTTCTAAAACGTTGTGCTTAACAGTTGTTATGAATTGATTAATTTAAATCCTACTCGGATAAACTTCCTTTTTGAATCTTTCCCTTTCTATCTCTTTTTTTTTAATAGCATAATATATACATAAATTTTCTGAAACTAAATATTGATAATTGGTTTTAATTTCCAGGTCTTTATTTTCTTTTCCTGGTAGAATCATTATCCTCTCAAGATTCAAAACTCCATGTGGTTACTGTTGGCTAAATTAACAGTTAAAACCAATGTTTTTACTTATATAATATCCATCTTTAGGTAGATTATTTCAAAACACTAAATTTAATCTAAGCCCAGATCAATTGACAATGAGTAGAGTTTATGAGTCTTTTGTGACTATCATATTTATTGAGCCCAAACTATCCCAAATGCTTTATTCTGTACAGCAGTTGGTATACTGGAAGGCTGGGGGGTTTTCCCCCATCTGAGCAGAGGATGACTTTAGAAACTCTTTTCTTTCTTGTATACTCAGTATTCCTTCCCATTTCGAGAATCTAAAGATGGATTGGATAGTTTTAGTAAACTCGCTTTGAACTCTAGATAAAAGTATTCTGTGAATTTATGATATAATGTTATTTAAATGTACTAGAGGTGACTCATTATCAAATAACAAAATACATGTGCATGTTATCTGTGGGATAGAATTTGACAACCAGAAATAAAGCTTCCTCTTTGTAGAGAAGGTGGTGCGCATGTGGTGTAAGTATCCTAAATCTCCTATGAAAGAACTATTTCCGGGTAGGAAACCTTGCCTCATAATATACAACTATTGGCAACTGTAATAGTTTCTTGGGAGTTTCTTATTTGTTTTATCATACTCTAGTGAATACAGAGTTGAGTCACATACAGAAAGAATAAAGATTTCCAGGTTTTTATTTTTGGTTTTCTAGTATGTTTTACTTTCTCATTTCCCTAACTACCAGTTGATTTAACGGGCTACATGTAATCAAGGGAATATTCAATAATTAAATGTTTTAGTCATAAGAATATGTGAAAATGCTTTCAGACTTGTTTTACATTTCAGTGATATTAAACTTTAATGTTACAAAGTGATCTCTTCTAAAATAGTTTACTCAGTCTGATTCATTTATACTTTTATTATCCCTTTGATACATACTTTGAATCAATAAACTACTATTGTTCTTTTCTACTAATCAGCATTAACCTTTCCATTAGTTCTTACTTAGGAATTTCAAAATTTGTTTTACCGTAAACCTGCTGTAATTTATTATATCATGTAGGTAAAGTGGTGATGATTATAATTGCAAACCTTATTACATCCCAACATAGCAAAACTGCTCTATCAGTTGTATTGACAGTAATACGTTGGGTTGGTTAAGCATACATTATCTTGATAATGTGTCCCTTCATGGGGCATTACCATACACATGCACATCATGAGTAGGATAACCTCAAGGAAGTATCATTATTGTCACTGAAGTGTAATACATGTACAGAACATCATTTGATAAATTCAGTGACTTCAAAATGTCATTGAGGTTTTCTTAGTTCATCAGACAGGAATATGAAAACAGATTTGGAACTCAATATTCTTCAAGAATAAATCACTATATCTTAGCATTTTTCTGTATATGAAATGTGTTAAGGCTCTCAAATCTAGTGTGACAAATAGGAAATTTTTTAAAAATCTAAATTTTTATCCCTTGAAACTTCAATTTTGCTTCTAACTTTGCGACTTGAATGAGAAGATAGAAATGAAAAAGCTAAAAAGAAAGGAAAGGTGAGCATTTTTCTTCCCACTAGCTCTCTCTGTCTTACTCTCATTTTCTATTATAAATCCCAATCAGCGCCCAAAGCCACTGAGTATTGACAGGAGTGATCTGTCTGCTGGCAGACCCACCCAAATGCCTCTAAAAATAAACACTGTCTATTCGTCAGGAAATACACTCCATGGCATTGTTTATGATAGTCAGGTTAGCTTCTCTGCACATTTTAGATAATCTTTCTTTGAAAAAATCTTTAATCTTTAAAATGAATTGGACAATTTTCAGTACGAAGAGACAGCTTAGGAGGGCACTGGAGAATGAGATAAAAACTGGAGCTGGGAGAGCACAAAGCAGGAGAAAGGGATTTATATGTGTATATATATCTATATATATATAGGTGATGGAAAATTGCATAGTGCCTGATTTAAATGACAGACCTGCTAAGAATTTAAAATGACAATTCTTAGGGTAAAAAGTTTCATAAGGCCTTTTATTATTCTGGAAATCAGTTCCAACTGCAATGTGTTTTTAAATCATTCCTTATCTTGAGCTGAACCGATTAAAGGTTTGTCTTTTTAGGGCCTAAAAAAAAAATAAGGCGCTTAAAATCATGTCTCATTATGCAGGCTTCTAAAAGCTGTGTTGAGACTAGATTTAAATTAAATAAAGAAAATCTAACTTATATTCTCTCTTATTTTCATTGTCTGGAAAATAGAGTATTTACCAAATGATTAAAAAGAGCTACATTTTGTTTTGAATCACTTATTTTGCTCTGAGTTTTTGTTATGTGCCGTTGAGTCACCTGTGACTCATAGCAACCCTATGTACAGCAGCTCTGAAGTCTGCCCTATCCTGAGCCAGTCTCATTGACTCCCACACATCTACTGTCATCTGCCCAGTCACTGTATCAATCCATCTCATTTGGAGTCTTTCTCTCCTGCACTGTCCTTCCACCCTTCCAAGCATAATGTCCTTCTCCAAAGATCGGTCCATCCTGGCCACATGCCCAAAGTATGTGAGACGGAGCTTCAAAATCCTAATCTCTAAGGAGATACTTGGTTTAATCCTCTGCAAAACAGACGTGTTTGTTTTCTTGGCACTCCATGGTATGGTCAAAACTCATCTCTCACATCACAAAGGCATCACAAAACTCAAAGGCATCAGTTCTTCTCTCATCCTTAGTCAATGTCCAGCTCTCTGATGCATAGCAAGTAATTGTGAAGAACATGGCCTGAATCAGACACACTTTAGTCTCTAAACTGACATCCTTGCTTCTCGGTACTCTGAAAAAGTTTCTGACAGCAGATTTACCTAGTGTGATTTGTCTTTTGATCTCCTGACTGCTCATGTCAAGAGTGTTGATTATGGAGCTGAGCAAGCTGTAACTGTTAACAACCTCAATCTCTTCTCCATCCATCATGGTGCTGCCAGTTGGCCCAGTGGTGAGAATCTTTGTCTTTTTCATGTTGAACTTCAATCCATATTGAAGACTATAGTGATTGATCTTCTGTATATTTTAATGTTCTTGTTTCAGATTTCTAACATATAATACTTCGTCCATAGAGGGAGCAAAGCACTTCCTCTCCCTTGTCCTGCTTTTCCACAAGTCCGGATCCACCAGTGGAACCTAGCTTTGTAGTCTTTCTCTCACCAGTGACTCTACTATCTTATGCCACTGACAGGAGAAAGAATGGAATTGTGCTGTCAAATATGGTGTCCACTAACTCATGGCCCCCAACAAGAACAACAAAACTAAATAAGATTAGAAACCTAGTTCCTTAATCACATTAGGCCCATTTCAATTGTTCCATTGCCACATGTTGCTTGTGATCACTCTCTTGTACAGTGAAGATATAGAACACATATGTCATCAAAGAAAGTTCTAGTGAGCATGACTGAGAGGAATGACCATATGTTCAAGAGCTCTAGTTTCCTCCAAATATTAAGACCTGTAGCTTCTGAAAATCAAACCCCTAACTCTGCGAGATAAAAAGTACAAGGTTGCTTTACTATATAACTGGACTCCAGAAGATAACTATTTAAAGACAGATTAAGGGAAAGAAATAGAATGATCTCTTAGTTCTCTTCACTTAATCATGTATTCATTCAACAAATATTTTCTAAGCACTCACTGTTTCGGAAGCACCTAATACTTTGATAGACTCTGAAGACAAAGCAGAAATGGCAAGATATCTGGAAGATAATTTAGGATGGTGTCCTCTTTTAGAAGTGATGATCAAAGAAGAAATTAAAATCTGAAAAATATGAGCATCTAGTCATGACAGAAAGCAAAGAAATGAAGGAGACAGGAGGTAGGGGGACCACAACAACAGGAAGACACTTTTCAGACAGTGGGAACACAAGTCCAAAGATCTCCAGAAAGAACATAACGCATTCTAGGACCTTCTCAAGGCCAGTGTGATGAACAGAATCAGTGAGAATAAAGACTGACACCCTAGAGGAATATCATAGCCATTATAGATGTGTGTCTAAATGTAAGATGTGTCATCTCCTCTCATGTCATTTAGAGCTCTGAAAACCCAGTGGAGGGTCAGCCAGGAGTCAGGTCCAACTCAATGGCTTGGAGCTTTTGTGAGTTTTCTTAATACTCTACAGGGTTCTTTCTCATATCCACCAATCTGAAGGAGGGTCATCAGATCTCAGAATGACCTTAAAAAATGAGACATATCTTGAAATTCAAAATGAAAATTCAATAAGGTAAAATAAAGCCAGAATATTTAGGGGGGAAAAAATAGCAGACCTACACAATACACAATGAGGAATGTCTTG